TTTGTTTATTTCCACAGGAAATGAAGGCCAAGGGGCAGGGCTCAGTGATCCCCCCCACCCAGCCCCCTGACAGAATGTGTGCCCCAGGGGAACAGTGAATCACCAGCCCCTGGCGGAGAAGCTGCTCAATCAGACAGGCTTAAAGGAGGCACTGACTCCTGCCTCCCGAGGGCCAGGCCTGGTTGCGCTCCTCTGCAGGCGAGGAGCAGGGGAAGCAGCCCCGAGTCACCAGAGGGGAGGACTCACAGCCCTGCTGGTCCCACCCTCCTGCTGGCTTTATCCCCATCACACCAGCAGCTCCTCGGTCCTCGGACAGTCAGCCTCTCAGGAGCCGGCCAGGCAGGGAGGGGTCTCCTGTGCCAGGCATGGCAAGCCCCCCGCCTTCTCCCTCATTCTCTAAGAGCCCATCTGGGACCTTGTCCACGTGTCCTGGAGCCGGGATGGAAGTGCCTCCGTCCAGCCGGTGGCGGGAGCCTTCCCCAGGATGTGCTCACCCCATCACACTGGCACACACGTCACGTCACCCCTGCCTGCCTGTGACGTTTACTGTTGGGTCCCCATGACTGGCCGGGGCGCCCAGAAGGGACAGGATTTCTGGGGGAGACTGGGAGGCTGTTTCCACGTGAGATTAGCACTTGAATGGGTGGACTCAGGAGAGCAGATGGCCCTCTCCCGAATGGGTGGGCACCGTCCAGCCCACGGAGGGCCCGAGGGGAACGCAAGGCGGAAGGAGGGAGGACATGCCCTTTCCTGCCCCACCCTTGAGCAGAATGTCCCACCTCATGCTCACCTTAACTCAGTCCAGGGTTACACCATCCGCTCCCCGGGGTCTCAGGCTTCCAAGCTCAGCCTGAGGGACACCATCACATTGGCTTGCCTGGGGCTCTGGTTTGCAGATGGCAGGTCATTCCCAGCCTGCATGACCACGTGCACCGACTCATCGTGGGAGCGGAAACCCTTCACTTACTCCCACCACGGGGGCAATCCAGCTCAGCCTGGCTCTGGCCTTCAAGCCCAAGTGCCAGCCGGCTGCCCACTGACCTCACCAACAGCCCTGACTGCAGGTCTCAGAATAGAGCCTTCGTTGCCCGCCCTCTGCTCCTGCCACACCAGCTTCTTTCCCTCCTTCCAACCTCCCTCCTCGGATCAGGATGCACCCCCAACACCCCGCGGGGCTGGCTCCACTGTTGGCTCCTCCCAGCCCCCTGTGCTGGAGGAGTGCCCCCACCACCTCATGACTCTCCATCAGCCATCCCCAGAATCCCTTCCCTTCCCAGTACTGGCGTGATCGTCGTGGGGTGACATCTGTCACCCTCACCAGGGCCTAAGGTGCCCGAGAGAAGGGTCCTGGTTGTCCAGCTCCTCACCGCCAGAGCCTGGAATGGTGCCTGCCACACAGCTGGTACCCACTAAATATCTGATGCAGGACTGAAGAGATGACACAACAAGCTGCCAGGGCGTGACCTGCTTTGGGATGCAGGATGCGGGTGCATGGTTCTGCTGCTCCCCGAGGGCGGGCTCTCTGTCCCCTGCCACCCCCTCCCCAGAGGGTCCAGGGTCCGAGGAGTCAGCCCACACCTTCGGCAGGAAACGCCCCTGTCACTGTGGGGAGCAGGGAGCAGGGAGCTGGCAGGAGGGCAGGGCGGCCAGGGCACCCAGACAAGCATTTCTTGAAACTGAAGGCCTGCCCTGACTCCTTTTCAACAGAAAGAATCCAGGCAGACCCCCCTCTCCCGCCGCAAGTGAAGACTTCAGTTACGTTTTTCTTTTTCAGTTTCATTAGGTGGAGTCATCGCAGTTTGCCTGCACATACACACTGTATTGCATGTAAATAGACATAATACAGCGTACCGCACATATCTTTTAAGTGTATATGTACTGACGGATCGCTGTTTCCAAGAACAGATTAGTGCTTTAGCGTTTTAAACTTACACAGTCATCAAAGGGATAAAGCCAACCACAAAACAAGAATCAACAGCATGCGGTGATCCAGTCACAAAGGACAGTCAGATGCGCTGACACATAGTCAACAAATCAGTCATCTAAGTTCTAAACAACCAGGACTTCAGCTACTTCTGTTATAACAGCGCTTCAACACGCACCAACCCAACACTAAGGATAAACGTGTGTTTGTGCCCCTTACACCATGTGAAGCCAAAACACATTTTAAAACTTGCCACAAAGGCACAGCAATCAGACAAGAAAAAGAAATAAAACAGATTCAAACCGGAAGGGAAGAGGTAAAACTGTCAGTATAAGCAGATGACATGATACTCACGATACCGTATAAAGAAAACCCTAAATGCTCCACACAAACACTACTGGAGCTGAGAAGCGAATTCAGCCAGGTAGCAAGTTACAAGACCATCTTACAGAAATCTGTTGCATTTCTTTACATTAACAATGAAATATCAGAAAAGGAGAGTTTAAAAAAATCCCTTTTAAAATCTCATCCAAAAAATACTTAGGAATAAATCTGACCAAGAAGGTGAAAGACTTATACTCTGAGAACTATAAAACATTGATAAAGGAAATTAAAGATGATTTAAAGAAATGGAAAGATATCCCATGCTGTGAGGTTGGAAGAATTAATATTGTTAAAATGGCCATACTACCCAAAGCAATCCATAGATTTAATGTGATCCCTTTCAAATTACCAATGCCATTTTTCACAGAACTAGAACAAATAATCCTAAAATTTATATGGAATCACAAAAGACTCCAATTCGCCAAAGCAATACTGAAGAAAAAGAGCGAAGCTGGAGGAATGACCCTCCCAGACTTCAGACAATACTACAGAGCTAAAGTAATCAAAACAGTGTTGTACTGGCACAAAAACAGACATATGGATCAATGGAACAGAATAGAGAGCCCTGAAATAAACCCACACGCTTAATTAATCTTCAACAAAGGAGGCAAGAATATACAATGGAGGAAAGACAGTCTCTTCAACAAGTGGTGTTGGGAAAACTGGACAGCCACATGTTAAAAATCAAAACTAAAGTGAGGCATCACCCCACACCAGTCAGAAGGCCCATCATTAAAAAGCCCACAAATGATAAAGGCTGGAGAGGGTGTGGAGAAAAGGGAACCCTCCCACACTGTTGGTGGGAATGTAGTTTGGTGCAGCCACTATTGAAAAGAGTATGCAGATTCCTTAAAAAACTAAAAACAGACTTACCATATGATCCAGCAATCCCACTCCTGGGCATATAACCAGAGAAAATTCCAATTCAAAAAGGCACATTCATCCCTATGTTCATGGTAGAACTATTTACAATAGCCAAGACGTGGAGGCAATAAATGTCCATCAACAGATGAATGGATAAAAAAGATACGGTATAAATGGAATACTACTCAGCCATAAAAAAGAATGAAATAATGCCATTTGCAGCAACATGGATGGGCCTAGAGATTATCATACTAAGTCAGGTAAGTCAGGCAGAGAAAGACAAATATCATATGATATCACTTTTACACGGAATTTTTAAAAATGATATAAATGAACTTATTTACAAAACAGAAAGAGACACACAGACTTAGAAAACAAACTTATGGTTACCAAAGGGGAAAGGGGTTAGGAAGGGATAAATTAGGATTTTGGGATTAGAAACACAAACTACTATATATACTATATACAGAATAGATAAACAACAAGGTCCTACTATACAGCACAGGGAACTATATTCAATAGCTTGTAATTACCTATAATGAAAAAGAATATATATGTATAACTGAATCACTATGCTGTACACCAGAAACTCACACCACATTGTTAAACCAATGGAACTTCAATTTTAATAATAAACAAACAAAATAAAATTAACTACCAAGAAAACTACTAAATTTGTAGGACAGGGCTGCTCTCTCCAACATGGTAGCCACTGGCCATCACGACTGCTGAAATTTAAACCACGCACAGAGAACAAAAAGAACACTTCAGTTCCTGGTGGTGCCACCAGCCATGTTTCAGTAGTCACTTGTCCTAGGGCTACTGCAAATGCAGTGCATTCCTATTTCTCCAGCTGCATGTCACTTTGCCATCACCTGGGGAGCAAATGAGTCACCTGTCCACCTCCTCCTTAGCCCAGGCAGTGAGGGCAGCAGGGCCCTCAACAGACGGCAGGAGTGTGGGGTTGGCCTCCCTGGGGGCCTGGCACAGCCAGGGTGTGCATTAAATACATAACATCTGGAAGTTCTATAGCCGACTTGGGCCTTTTAGACATTTAACACGGGTCTAGGGGACACCTTTTCTCTGACCTTTCCAAACACAGGCTTCTCTAACAGCCGTCAGCTTCCCCCCCTCCCCCAACCCCGCCACCACCCTGTCCATGGGACAAGGCTTGGCTGCCTAGAATCTTCAGCCCAGGGCCTCATGACCTACCCCCACCCCAGGTTCCTGTCCCCAGGAGCCATGTGAACAAAGCACGCTGCCGTAGGGCACAGCGGTGTATCACCTCCTTCAGGGGGCCTTCCGAGATAGTCCAAGGGGCTGAAAGAGTTCTTCC